AAATACAACCCTGATGCAGCCCTCAATGAAATCGAATTTGACACCCCAGTGTAGAACATCAAAGAGTTAGGATTTTTAATTACCGTATTTATCGGCGTATAACACGCACTTTTTTCCCCCTGAAAATAGGGGGCAAATGATGTATGCGTGTTATACGCCGATATAATGTTAAGAAGCCTTCGGTGAATGCTGCTGGGATCGGGGATCAAGGACACAAATGAAAGAAGGGGAGGGAGGAAGCAACCGAAGCCTGTCCTTCTCTCTGGGTCAGCTCTGTCAGTCGCTTTCTCGCTCCTCCACCAGCACAGGAAGAAACTGCTTCAAAGAAGGGGGGGGGGGGGCTTCCCTGAAGCGCCCGTTTCTCCCCCACCCCCACCCCGCCCGCCCGCAGTGCTCCGTTCTGCCTGCCTGCCTGCCTTCGTTAATGGTTGAATCGGAACAGCTTCGGCTGAGTAAAAGAGGCGAATAGTTATTATTCTCAGCTGAAGCTGCTCCCAAACAACCAGAAACTAAGGCAGGCAGGCAGAATTTTTTTAAATTTTTTTTCCTGAAATTTCCCTCTTAAAATGAAGATGCGTGTTATACGCCTGTGCGTGTTATACGCCGATAAATACGGTAGATTGCTTTGATTACTTCAGCTACATCCTTGGTAAGAATATAATTTAAAGGATATCCTAGCTAACCCGGACTAATGTCAAAAAGCTAAACAGGATCAGGTGTTATATTTGGATGGGATACCATCAAGAATGTCCAGGGCTTGGAAGTCCCAAAAGTTTTTTCAAGAGGCAAGTGGACTTTCTGGTTTTTCTTTGAAGACGTTTTGCTTCTCATCCAAGAAGTTTCTTCAGCTTCTTCTTCAATGAGCCAAAGACGCTTCTTGGATGAGAAGTGAGACATCTTCAGAGAAAAACCAGAAAGTCCACTTGCCTTTTGAAAAAGCACCTTTGGCACAAGCATGACCTGGATGACTAAGAATCTCCATAGACACCAGGGCCTGGAAATTGGGGGAGGGGGGATATTCAGAAGCAGTTGCAATCCCTTTCAAAAGTATTGCCAATATTTCAGATGCATTCTGTTCTGATTGCTTCATTCACACACTTCAATTGTCATCCACAGCAGCACTGGAAACATTCTAATGAATAAGCATCTTTTCTGTGTAGAGCTCTGAATGGGATGGTATTCTGAATGGGAAGACTACAATGTAGCATTGTGTACCTGTGCACAAAAATATTCCAGAAATTGTTCCAAGCTCTAAGATTAACTGTACAAATTAATTAAAGCCTAGAATGTACTGCTAGACTTGTGTAATGACATCATTGCATATTGTGCTCTGTTTATGTTGTTAGAAGTAGAGGTAAATCAAATGCTTTGATTTGGAATGTTTAAAGCACAACATTTCACAAAACGTCTTGCATCAAATGTGAAATAGACAGGGAATATTTTGGACGTACTCTGAGCTCTTGAGAGATTAATGAGTTTAAAATACCTCCAAAAATGCTGAAAACCACAAGGTGTTTGTAAATTGTATATTTTTAAGAAGGGATATGTAATTGCCTCAATGTGACCTAGAAGACATGCTTGGAAATTATTTAGAGACCAAATGGAGTACCTTTTCAACTGGGAAGAGGCTGTAACATTACCAGTTAACAGTAACAGTAGAGCAGAACATGCAGAGATTGTCCAAAACAGGTGCTAGATTCCCATTCTCATGTGTTCTGAAGCACACTATTTTCAAGCCAACCATAATAGGTGCTATCAAACTACAGTGATTTCTCAAAGGGAAGAAAGTGATTGGTACCAACCTTGAAAATAAACACATCTGCTTCTAGCATCTATCAGAATGATGGCTGTAGGCTTCTTAGTTGGCTAGTCTCACTGACAAGAGAACAGATGTGAACTCCATCTCTTCTCTGCAACCCCACTCAGCTGCCATCTAAAATTGTCAGGCGAGTTGCTATTAGGCATGGCTATGCAAACAAAAAAGAAGTTATAGATTTGCCTGAAAAAAAATCACCTTTTTTGATATGCGATGCTATCCCTATTCCCAGTGAGGAAGCATTCTTTGTATTTGTTACAATATATTTTATAGGGATAGATTTGCCTAACAGAGATAAGAAGCTATCATTGACTTTTTTGCCCGGGCGGGGGGGGATTTTGTTTTTGGATGGACAACTATATAACATTATATTACAGGGGAGGCTGGATGCGTCACATGCTGGGCCTGCCCCCGCCTGGTTTAACGAAGGGGAAAAAAGCCCCGATATGTCACATGACGCCATGATGACGCAAGTTTGACATCCCTGTTATATCATATACTGCATTTATATTTCAGGCTCTTCTTCGTGCAGTCAGAATGCAGAATTACCAACATTCATATTAACCAAGGATTCCACTCAGAAACTTTTGACAGCCAAAACCAAGTTAGAGAAGATTCCTAGACCAAAAACAGTGAGTAGTGAAAAGTTCATGAAAACATCAGACAAGTAAAACTATTCAGTCAAGAGAGCAACAAGTTGTTTAATTTGAATGCTATTTTTAAAGAGTTTCACTATGAAAGAATACCAATGGTTATTCTTGCATGTGTATACACCTCAGGTATGCAGTGGGTTTTTTTCTGCTCTGCGTCCCCAGATTATGCCGCTACAAAAAATAGCCATTCCCAATCCTTGAAATGCTATTCAAAGTGCAAAACATAAAAATAACAAACTTTGTCTTTCCAGGTACCTTCAGAATGGAAAAATAGAATAGTAGACTTTCTACTGCCAGATCTTACCCAAACCTCACATTCTACTTTACCTGTGCAACAAGAACAAAACCCATCTCAAAAATAAACTGCTATTATTTAGATTTGTCATTGACCAAGAGTGAAAACATTACTGTGCACATCATTGCTGTCAGTAACTGTTAATAAAACTTTTCTTACCATATTTTCTTTAAAGCTTTTGCTATGAGAATAAAAGATTTTGGCTTTGTTATGCCATATTGAGATTTCATTGTTGTTCTTTTGAAAGTTACATATTGTCATTGTACAGGTAGTCCTTAATGTATGGCAATTGAACCACAAAATTTATATTATTAAGAGAGAAAATTGTTAATGCCCCATTTTACAACTTTTCTCACATTTGTTAATCACTGCAGTTCTTAAATTAGTAACATGGTTATTAAGTGAATCTAGTTTCCTCATTGATGTTGTCAGAAGGTTGCAAAATGGGATCACATGACACCGGGACACTGCAACTGTCATAAATTGAGTCAATTGTCAAGCATCTAATGTAAATCACGTGTCCATGGGGATACTTCAAGTAAGTGTGAAAAATTGTCATAAGTCTCCTTTTTCAGTGCTGTTGTAACTTCGAACAGTCACTAAATGAAGTGTTGTAGTTGAAGACTACCTGTATATAATGCACATGAATTGTATAAAGCTGTAGTTTCATATTTCTTAAGCAAATGATCTCTTGGGTCCCCTAAATAAATAATCAATGCCTTATAAAAAATACATAGCACTGTTACATGCTGTCAATGTAATGTTTATTAGGTTGTTTATGTAGTCTAGCTCTAAGTAACTGACTTGGACAAAAAAACATTTTAATAAATGATTTATTATTTTGGTATTACGGTTGTAAATGATTTGCATTTCTTCCAATGACAACACCACATATGAAGTACATAATATCTATACATTCCATTCCCTATGCAGTTCATTTGCATATGAGAGTTCTGAGAACAATCCAGATAAAGAATGAAAATCGCAATTTACTATCTAAAGAATTAAGGTCCACATGATCAGTTATTCTATACAGGTGATTGCTTTAAAAACAAATAATATGCTGAATTTCAAACAACCAGCAAAGTGATAAAAATCAATTCATACTAATTCAGAAGTAATGGCATTATACTGAAAACAAAGTTTTATCTATCTAAATCTAGATGGTAAAGAATTTAAATATGCGAATAACAGGGAAGCCCCTTAATGTGTCCACTGTAGTTTGGTAGATTACAGATGAAGCTGGTTTAGAAAATCAAATCTACTGTCACTGCATGAAATTGTTAAAAATGCCCTAGTAATTAAACGTATAGCTTTATGCCACCTAAATAGAAAATATAGATTTCCTGAAAGGTAATACTAACACCTGAATTTTCTAACATCATTGGAAAAGAGCAATTGCTGAAACTAAGGGGCAGATATATTGATTAAAGTTTATTTCCCTGACATGAGGCCAACATTAAGAAAATTTAAGGCACTTGAAAGAGGGTTCAATGTATTTAGAAATACATGTTTTAATGTCTTTGACAGGTATTCTTGGCTCAGTAACAAAATCATCTCACATTTTGATTTTGGAGGTGCATACTGCACTGTCAGTTTTGAAATATTTTTCCCTTTAAATTTACAAGATAAATATTAACATTCAAGAATAAGGATGGAAGCAAAAAGTAAATAGCCTTTTAGTCTTTGAAGAATACATTTATCTAATATTAAGAGTGCATTTTGAAACAGTTCCTTTAGAATTTCATTAGCTTTGTGTTTAAATTTTCAGCTTCTTAGCTTAAATTTATAAAGACCATGGGGAGGTAGTAAAATGACTACTACAAGGCCATTAAATATACACCACCTATTTTGGAAATAACTGAATGGAGTAGTCAGTTCAACTGTCTTATTGACCTGAGCTATTGTCTTTTAGGAGTGCAGTTGTCAGAAGATTCTTTAAAATTACAGTACTCTCTACTAAATATATTTTATGAATTGACTTTCTGGATAATATTAAAGTGAACTTTACTCAAACTGGAAGGATTAAGGAAATTAGAATGATGGTAACATTTTAACAATAAATCTACAGAGTCAATTTTGTCACCAGCATATCAACCACTCCAGTTCCTCTTTGACTGGAGCTCATCCAGCAGAAGCACTTAACCCTATAAACTGAATTTTGATTATTTCAATTGTATTTATCACATGACTTGGCAAAACAAACATTAAGAAGCTATTAAGAGAATAATCAAAATAAAATAACTTAGTTCAAGTGTTCAATCAAGTTTGCTTCTATCACAATTGTTCTATCACGTAATTTGCTGTATTATGAAACCTATAGGTGGGATATTGCTATGTGGGAATAAAATATTCCAAGATCCACGCAGGACTACAGTACCTTTAAAATATCCATAATGTTGTGAGCACAAACTGTTTGCTAAAATTATTATCCTCATATGAAAAGCACAGCATTTTCTAAGGCAGGTAATTTGAAGGCTACAGACAAATGGCTTTAGAAACAGTAAACAAAGCCTGGATATAGCAGATTGAACCCATACTTTGCCACATTTAACAGGCCCACAAAAATCAGTTGGATAAATTGATCACATGTAGCTTACCCAATCTGTTTTCCTCAAAGGATCTAACTCCTCAAAAATATAGATCCAATACATTATATTAACACATATGAAAACAGTTAACAATGTTAGCATATAGTGCTGAGGTTCGTATGTCTAATGGAGAAAACTTGGTGCAAATAAAATGACATTCTTCACTAAACCTCAAAATATAAGATGGCACAACACTTCAATTTGCAATCTGCTAATTAAGGCACTGGTCCTTCTTCCTTATGCACAGGGGAACTTGTATCTTTTGATCATCATTCTTCCTATAGATGCTTACAATAAAAAACAGTCATCCTTATAACATCATATAATATGAAAAAATATGGGCAGTCATATTTGTTAAGAAAAAAATATCCTAAAAACACCCTACAAATCTCTTCCAATTTCCAAGCTGAACAGATAAAAAGTCATAATTTTCATAGATAATTTTTATGTCTGTTTTTAATAATGATGCATAGGGAATATTGTATCTAAACTTAATTAAATCACTGTAATTGTAAATTTACCTATCAAGAACATTGCTGCCACTAAATATAATAACTATCAGCAGCTACATTTGGCATATCAAATAATAGATTCTATAGTAGCAGCTACCAAAAATTTAAGACAGCAAATAAGGGTTCATGCAGAATATTGCAAATATTTCTGTTCAGCAAGACATGATTCACACAACCTTATTCCAAGCATGTTGCAGACCTTTTTTTAAGTCTTGAAAATAGTATCTTGAACTGCTGTATTCCATAAAGAATAAGCATCTTTTGGTGTAGCTAATCATAAATATTGAGCTAATCTATGTCCACTTAAAAAATAACATTTCCTAGAGAGTGTGATAGTTTTGTTCTTTGGACTTGCAAAATTTATACAGAAAGAAGATAACTGCTTGCAGACCCAGCACAAGTACAATACCACCAATGAAACTGGCTGCATCGAAACTTGCTTTATGATGTGGTGGTTTGGTAGTTGGTATTAGAGCTGATGTGCCTGTCAAATAAGAGGATTATAATGATTAGTGATTTGCTCCTGAATTATATTTTCTATGTATTATTTTTTATCATCTAAAAATCAATTCTGTAGATCTGTCTCCATGAAACAGAATTTGAATACACTCTTCAATAGAAGGAAAGTTACAAATTAGTCCTTTTCTAGATTAGATGCAAAAGGAGGTGAGCTCAATTGCTGCTTAAACTTGTTCAGTACATCCTGTGTGAGGATGCTATAGAGACCACACGTATTTGATTTTTTTAAAAATTAAATGCTAATCTTATAAGATTTAATAATCTTGCAAACTCAAAGAATGATTTAAAAGTGTTATATGATCTGGAAATTAATTGCTGATTCACTCCTCACTTTGCAGTGTAGATATATAGTATCTCTCTTGGAATCATTAAAGCTAAGCACAACTACTGCTTCACAAAGAAAAGCTTATGAAGCAACTGAGAAAGGACACTGCTGCTTTATGATTCAGATGTTTTGTACACCCTTGAAGGGAACATTATTACCCAATTTGACTCTTGTTTTCCAGTATCTGAAAATAGACATGTACTGTTTTATTTCATCCATAGTTCACTTGCCTTTTGCTTTTTCTTATTCACCCAAGAAAAGAACTGTCTTACAAGTAACTTTCAAGACAACAGAGTTCATTATGAATGCCTGTTAAATTAAATTTTACCTGTTTTATCAGTAATAACAGAAGTAGTGGCAATGGTTGTAGTGTTCTTAATAGGACTTCCTGTTGAAGTTGAGTTAATTGTACTACCTGTTATAAAGAAACATTTATATAATTTTATTTGCCTTGAAATATGAATATACATGTATACTTAAAGAATCCTATTTGTGATTCAAATCACTGAACATGACATGTTCCTTTCCTATATTTTGAAGGACTATAAAAATATCAATGAACAATATACTGAACACAATTTAAAAATCAAATATAAAAGAGGACAATATCATAAATGGAAACTTGCCAAAATGTTGATCTTCAGTTGGAGACTGCCAAGAATAAGAATGTAAAACAAGACTCTTTTATTGTTATTGAGATTAGTGGAAGAATGAGATCAGGAAAAGGAGGATATAGCCTGTGCGGTTATTGTTACATATTTAGGCAGTGAGAATTTTGGAGAAAATACAGTATATATCTTTTTCTTGTGTCTTTTTGCATTCTCTTGATCAAATAGACAAATATCACTTCATGAGTTACTTCTGTAACTATTATGCATTTAAATACAGCTAGATCTCTTTGTTGCTGTGCAAATTAATTGGGTTGAAATGCCTACTTTCAATATTATCACTGTAGTTTCAACCAAGGGAAATTTTTAAAAGCAGTCAACTAACAATACTGTAAATGCATCTAAAATTTTACCAGTTATAGAAGAAATTACTCATAAAAAGAGAATGGAAATATAGAAACTAAAAATTTTATTTAGAAGAAATGCTAAGAAATAGTGATTTATGAATTGTTAATTTTTGTATTGTTACTTGAACAATACTAACGCATATTCTCAAAGCAGATTTTGCTTGATCTATAGATTTATCAAATTACTGATATAACTGAGCATAATAACCTGAGCACAAAAATCACATACGCATGTAAGTAAAAAACTTACATGTCTCTTCAGATACTTATTTTACTACAGATTCATTACTGGATAGCATTAAGCTAAAACAATATGTCTGTATTAATGCACATTTTTTTTCTTTTTGTTACCTGTTGGGCTGGTGACTGTGGTGGTATTAATAGGTGTAGTAGTACTGACAGGAAAAACTAAAAAAACAAAACAAAACAACTATGAAGCATAAAATAGATTTTTAAGAATAATAGTGGCGATATCTAGGTTGAAAATTCTTCTAGGGTTCTTACACACAGATAAATCTTTACTTGAGTAACTTGGTGTTTGGCCTGGCATTTTTTAAAGAAATATGTAACTTTAATAATTACAGAAGTAATTACTCCTTTCATCAGTAATCAGCTGGAGTTCATGAGACATCCAAATTCCTTCCTACAGTAATGGACATACAGCTTTTCATCTTCATTGGGATTGCCAAGCGACTAAGATTCAAGAAGAGGAAAAATATCTACTGAAGAGGCAGGATTGAAATCTTGTACATGACACTTTATAGGCAATCATCTACCCTAGAGGCTGGGAAATATCATTAGGTTCAGGTATCTGAACAACTGACAAAACTACTAAATACCCTATTCACTTTCTTTTGATAAGGTTCTTTTTTCAGACTTTCCAGTATTTAGAATTAAACTCTTTATCTTTACTAATTAAAAATCCTAACACTTTGATGTTCTACATCGGGGTGTCAAATTCGATTTCATTGAGGGCTGCATCAGGGTTGTATTTGACCAGGGGGGGGGGCAGGATAGGTGTGATGAGGATGGGTGTGACCAGCTCGATGTCAGTCATGTTGGGGGTGCCCGCACTGGCCCAAGCGCTCTCAGGCCCCTGAGCTCTGTTTTTGGCTGCGATGGCACCCTGCAACCCTCTGCCAGCGAAAACGGAGCTTGGCCTCCCAAGCTCTGTTTTTGCTGGCAGAGGTACCGCAGGCCGGGCGTTTGCTGTTTCCAGGGCAGCCCAGAGGCCAGATCTAAACACCCCGCAGGCCAGATCCAGCTCTCAGGCCTTGAGTTTGACATCCCTGGTCTACATAGTGATTGTCTCATGCTCCTGCTAAGTTGATGGAGATTGAATTAGAAGCTCTACATAGGGG